TACTGACTAAATCATTACATCTTGTTGGTTTGTGATTGTCTGTACTTACCACTCTTTCTCTCTCCCACTGTATACTCTTATTTTCTAGTGGGCTATGGAATTCTAGGATATCTTTGGGTCATTGGAATTGTCTGTACTAACTGCAGTTAAGGTGCAAGGTCAGTAAAAAGAAATCGTGTGACTGGTTTTATTGGACTATTTGTCTATCTGACCGCTGACCTCCAGAGACATTGTTCCAACCACAATCGTTTGTCCATTCACCCACCTACGTCTGTGTAAGAGATAGCAACGATTTATGAGTGTGTGAAGGAATTGGTATATCGCTGCTTTTGTCCACTAACTAGTGTGTGTCTGAAAGCGGAAAATGGCGGATCAGGAGGCTCAGCAGCAGCCACAGGGAGAAGTGGAAGTGAAGACAAAAGTTCAACAGGCTTTTGCCTCCCCCTCTACTACACCTCTGACTGCTACTCAACGGAAGGAGTTGCAGGATAAACTCCAGCAGGAGCAGGCGCTGCTTGCAAAACTTGAGAGACAGGAGGCAGCCGAGCTGGAGGCTGCAACAGATGCCTCACTCAGAGAGTATCTGTTGGAGCAGTTAACCAAGGCCATGCCAGATGAGCGTTGCACCCAGGTGACCAGGAACTTCGCGGAGTGGGCCACTTTGAACACAAAGCCACCAGTTCCTATTTCACCAATTGGGATGATCGCCTGGGCCGTCTTGAGCGCAGAGTTGATGACCTGACGGCTCAGCAGTCAAAGCTACTAGATACAATTCAGGCTCTGATGGCTCAACTGACAACAGCCAAGCTTATCACTCCTCAGCCTCCTGTACCCAAAGTAAAACCTTCTCCTTCTCCTACTCCGTCTCCCTCTCGTTCACGCCATTCTTCCCCTTCACCACCTCCCTCCCAAAAAGCCACAGGCCGCCCAATGCTTGATTCTACTCCTGCAGATGATCAAAGGGGGCCCAAGATTCCAGCCCCGAACAAGTTCAGAGGCAATGATCCTAAGGTGGACGTAGGGGATTGGACTGCGGGTACCAAAGCCTACTTGAGAGGCTTTATATGTGCAGACCAGACCAAGGCTGCGACGGTGCTGGCACTGCTGGAGGGGCCTGCATTGAAGTGGGCTACCTCAACCTCCAGGAGCCAGGAGCAGCGCCTGGAGGACTGGGCTTTTGGGTTGGGGGTGGACAAACTTCTACAGGCCCTAGAGGACTGCTTTGCAGACAAGGAGCGGGTCCGCAAAGCTGCTGACAGGATTGCTCGTCTAGGGCAGCAGCGTTACAGCGGGTCACTGCAATCTTTGTTTGCAGAGTTCGAGCAGCTCACCTCTACCCTTGGGTTGGTCGTGTCAGCAGATGATCTACTAACCAACTTCTGCAGGGCAGCGCCTGAGAAGTTTGTTGTTGCTTTATACAGTGTTGGGCACAAGGATTGGAGATCCTTTGGCCGTGCAGCCCTGGACATGGAGGCAAAGCTACATGTCCAGGCCCCCTCTTCTTATAGAAGAAAAGGAGCCTTCCCTCGTGGTGGCAGAAAGGGAAAGGCTGCCTTTGCAGATGCAGGTTCTAGATCAGCCAGTGATTCAGACTCCCAGGCTGATGTACCATCAGCTGGGACTGAGTCGTCAACTGCTGATACAGATGTTGCAGCGGCCCTGACTCGGGCTGTTTTGGGAGTTTTGCAGCAGCAGAAAGGTTTTCTCCCACTACAGCCTCAACCAGTACCAAGGGGAAGGACAAGGGACGTCATTCTTCGACCCCTGCTCGGTGCCCTAACGTGCCAAAAAACGTCCGTATGCCAGCTGACCCACTCAATCCCTCCACTCTCCCCTTGCATGATCTCAAGATCCAAGAAGGAGTCTGGAGAAGAAGAAAGGATAGAGGGGTATGCCTGCGGTGTGAGGGTCAACACTTCCTGAAGGACTGCCCTTACATGTCAGTCCCGAGTCAGTCAAAAAACTAAAGTAGACCCTAGGGACTGCAGTTCCCTCCAGTGTTGCACATTCATCCTCTGAGGAAGATGAATTTGCAGCTGCTTCGGTTGAGACACCGCAAAGTGTGGGAGCTGCGCGGGCAACATCCTTTTGTTATGAGGATCCTGACCCGGATCAGGAACCAGAGGAGCATGAGCTGCAAACGCTTGGTGCCTTTTTCTTTTATATGAAAGAACAAAGGAAAGTCAAGTCTGACCTCATCCTACTTCGGCCCCTAATCAATCACATCAGAATCAAGGGGTTGCTGGATTGTGGAGCCACCAAAAACTTCAAATCCCCTAGAGCTGTCAAGAAATTGCACCTCGGCATGAAAGTTGAGCAGTGCAGCATCCACTGCAAGTTAGGATATGTGAGTCCACTACTATCACCATCAGGGAGAAGGTCAGGGGTATCCCTGTTACCTTCGACGGTGCTGGGGAAGTCAGACACCGTCTGAACTTCTACATATTCCCTGATTGATCTGGTGTTCTCGAATATAGTTTGCATTGGGGACGTGAGCCACGACAACCTCTTGATGACATCATCAATAAGGCTAAGTCTGATCTGACTCCTGACACTACGGATTTTACCAGACGCTACACAACCGATGTGGAAAGGGCACGGGCGAACTTGTTCAAGGCTCAAAAGGCCATGATTGAACAAGCTAATCACCACCGACGTCCTTCCTGCATTTGTACTGGCGATTACCTTTGGGTAGCCAGTTCAGAGTTGTCAAGGGAAGAGGATATCTCTCCCAAGCTGTTGCCACGACACCTGGGTCCGTGGCAGGTGTTAGATACGGTGGGCTCCGATGCAGTGGGCCCGTCGTACGTTATCGACGTCCCACTGCATCTACAGACCTATCCGGTCTTCCATGCATCCAAGCTGCTTCCCTTCATCCCAGTTGATGCATTCCCAGACCGGCCCCCTCAGTTTGGTCCACCGATCCCTGGCAACGGATATGACGTGGAGTCCATCGAGGACGAGTGGGGCACTGGCCCCGACTGGCAGTATCTTGTGAAGTTCTGTTTCCAGCCTCATACCGAGGATAGGTGATTCACCAGGAAAGAACTTCTCAAGACAGCAAAGTCTGTAGTACTTCGTTACGAGGCGGCTCAGAAAGGCAACCTTCCTCACCGATCTCCTCGTCTGCACCCTTAGCTCGGAGGTCCTCGCTCCCCGGGAGGGTAAGCCTGCAATGACTTGCTGATTTCTGCTGCCGAGATCTGATTGCAAGGTTGTATAGTCTTGTCTTAGGGTCAGATTCGTAATTTTGTTTGTGTCAGGGACTAACCGTGAGTTCAGTCCGAGGGAAATCCAGGAGGGACAGATCTGTAAATCTGG